CTAGTGGTCCGGTATATTGAGTCGACTGTTTCCTAGGTCTCCCTCTACCACGGGCACGTGGAGGGTGGGAATTTGGTCTCCCCCATTCTCTTGAGAGGTGAGCCGTCCCATCACCTCTCACGGCTGGCTCTTTCATGGGAGTATTGGTTTGGGTGGCGATTTCCTTTCGCCCTGTCTCTACCGGCCAACTCTTAAGTGGCTTTCCCAAATATTTAAAGTGTCGACGTGGATCCTCCTAATTGGTCCACCTTTTGTACGCTGGATGTCGTATATTACCTCTGTGACCTGGCATATCACCATCCAAGGCCCCGTCCAGGGTTTACCCAACTTCATTGTACCTATCAAAAAATCGATAACCGATCAATCGTCGATCAATTCCTGTTCAGCCTTCAACGATCAATCTATGGCTGATAGATCATCCAAATTTCGGCATTTTAGATCCAATAGTTTGGCCTCCAGAGGCGTTTTAAACTGACCCTGTTTTAAATTACTCTTATTTAGAGCTTAGCCTTAGGTTATCCATCTAGTCACTACAGTGTTAGACACTACAATTGTTAGGGATGTTGGAAATTATAATTCTTATTTTTATGTAATACCGTCTTGTGTCGCCATCTGTCGGGCGATTGGTTGTATAATATGTGACCTACTTTATAATAAACGACGCTCTTCATGTTGTTCGCCGAACTCACTAGTTGTGTTATTTTTCTATGAACTTTTGGTTGCACATTAAGTAATGTATACGCAACAAGGGAATCCTCGGTTTTGGCGTCGGCAATTAAATAGACTTTCCATTCACAGGGCCGTAGCCGGGAAAAAATTAGTGGTTCGGTCATGGCCATGAGTTGAATACATGGGTGATTTTTTCAATAGGGGCACAACTGCTGAAAACAAATGTCCCGGCTCAATATTTTTTAATGGATAGTTCTAGTGAAAAATTATATCCACCTAAATATAAAGTGTCTTATGCCTTATAAACTACTATCAAATCCAACTCTGTATTGCATTTAGTTTTTTAGTATTGAGGGTTTGAATGACGATTTTGAGCACATTTTGCCATGTCCAAAACCTGGGTGACTGCATTGTCAGGCAAAGTATTCAGCATATTTCTATGCTACCTAACCCTAAAAACTATTTTCTTGTCCAGCATTACCAGATGTATGATTTCCAGAAAAGGAATTGTCATTACACGAGCTAAATTTTGAAAAAAATCCAATTTTGTCAGTGTCCAGGAAAATCCCCTCCACTCCATTACCATCTAATGCAGTGCTTCCCCCTTGCTGATAACAGGTGCACTAGCTAATTTGGTCCTTGCTGATAATTGCTTGTGTAACCCCCATACCTTTGTAAAACACATGGAGATGTCCCCAGCATTTTCTCAGTATTTTCGATTCTAACCGAGGGAGTCAGGTGAGTATGCTTTTCCATCTCCACTCCGTTATCAGTCGATACGATAACGTAGCCCTGACTGGCGTGAACAGGGCTACGAATCGAGCCTATACCTTTCTGTGGAGCAGAGCCGGTGCAATTTGCACCGGGGGGTTTTACGATTTATTCTTGCGGTTACTTACCTCCAGGGTGGTTGAACTTAACAAAGTAACGTATTTCCTCAATTTTGAGCTCAATACATTAACACAATAACGATAGAATATATTCTTATATCTACTTTAAATTTCGAAGCGAAGATTGGCGTTGCTCGTAACCGCCATTTTCGCTTTGACCTGCAAAGTGACTTCCTGTCGTGTCTCGCGCGCTCTTGCGGGAAAAAAGCTCATGCCTCGTTTCGGGTAGCATCGGTTTTTTGGACGGATGCGGTAGGCCTATCCTGCGAGAAAACTTTGTATAAAAAAGATGGCGGATGTTGTTTACACTTGTTGCAATTGTGGTAATGAATTTTCGAAAAAAGGGAAACAGTACGACAGAAAGAGTTTTAGTGCAAAACTAAATAGAATAGATAAAACTGTTAAGCAAGTTATCGAAGAAGAACTTGGAGTAACGTTAACACCTGAACAGAAAAAACAGCGTTTTCTATGTGCACCATGTTCGTGGTCGTTAGCGTCAATGGCAAAGTCGAGGGAGAAAAAATACGAAGCAGCACAGTCGTTCAAAGAGTCTTGCATTGCGACAGGTTATCTAGGCAAGAAAATTAACATAAGAAGTCCGTATGCAACCCGCCAAAAGGTCAAGATGCAGCGTACTGTCTCACCACTGAAGGTAATTGTCAATAATCCCCAAAAATAAAAAACGAAGTTTACAACTTATTCAAATTGCAACAATGAATTTAACAAGTTACTCTAGACTTGGCAATATTTTGAATGTAAGTAAGCATGCATCTAAAGGTAAATGTACTAGTATTCCACTTATGGGTTTACATTAACAAAAAACTTCACAAAAACAAATAAAAAATTTAACTGCAAGTACAAGCCGTTTACACATAATATGTTACTTACAAAATATGTAACATACTTGTTTCCTCTTTTTCAGAGCCCAAAACCAGCTTCAAATAAAGCAGCAATTTAGCCTTCAGTAACAACAACGGTTACGGATTTTAACAAGAAGCACGCAATGCCAAAGGTAATATATGTTTATATGGTTTAAATGTACCTGCCCACGAAATTTCTAGCGAAGAAAATGAAATCTGGCAGTAAAGAATAATTTCAGCTTTGTGCATTTGTACTTGCCCATATATTTTTGGCAGGTTCACAAAAAAATGTTTGGGATTAGGTCTATTCAAATGTTTGTTGACCACAAAATTGTACTGCTGGGCTGATAATGTTGAAAACCAGTTTTGCAGGCCATTCTGATAAACATGACCTACATACTATAGTATGTGAACACACGCTGTAACCGGCATTATCTAAATCGCACAGTTAGCAGCGTTTACAATAGGAATTATCATTCTGCAAGTATGAGAATTATAGATACATTTCCTGTTTTATTATTAAGCCTAAGAGGCATTTTAAAATGCAATTACTTATTTGTATGCTTTTTTACACTGATTTATTACAAAATTATGCTATACATTTCGTGTGAAGGCATCTTTATGTAATTTTGTTTCTTCTTTCTTGTTTTTCATTGTGTTCCTCTCAAACATAAAACACTTCATTTTAAAACGTCCTGAAAGAAGGCAAGTTCTCAATGAAATAAACAAAATCCGGATTTCATCTGATCAAAAGGTTACTGAATTTCAGAGGTTATACAGCATTTCATTTTATCATTACATGTTGCGTAACTGCGGTTCTACCTGTAAATTTTTAATATTTTAATGAACACAGCCTTTCTGTCTCCCTCCACCAAATCCCTTCCAAGTTTGTATCTTCACCTGACCTTAATTGGTAAAAATAGCTTGGGAGTAAAAAAACAGAAATTTAAGCATAGAAAAAGATAACTGGCTTATAATGTAAAAATGTACAGCTAATTTTTTTAATTTTAAAAAGTTTTCTACAAATTTCAGGCCTTTCAGCTGTCAACACAAGTTGCCAGGGCTTTGAAGTACATTACTCGCCGACAGTACATAAGAGGAATCAAACTACTAATGAAATCGAGACTTGGTTTCAGGAAGTCTGTTACTGCTATTTTACAACAAACAGTGAGGGAGGAAGTTTCAAAAATTACAAGGAAAAAAACATCCATATTTCAAGGAGGGAAATCACTGCAAGACATCAGTAACTTTACATGGAATGATCGCCACACAGAAATGAAGGTCCAGTGCCCAGTGCTAACAAGCATACTGACTGCGGCTTTGACAACAACACGTTCTGTCGGGTATCTCGGTCTCGCTTCAAAGAAAGATGTCTCCATTAAGCCTACTATTGGCGTTTTGATGTCGATAATTCTGTACCAACTTAAACCGTCCAAAATGACAGACTTACAAGAACTAATTGGTTTACAAATGTGGATGTCTGGCTGCAAAAGAGAGGTAATTTCAGTAACAATTTCAATTAAGGTACATTAGAAATTATATTTTGTTCATGTATACAGTTCATTTAATACTTGCAGTATAACAATTTCTTGTTACTTTTTGCACTTGTATTTAAAGCCAAACCACATTTTCCTTTTTCTGATTGCAAATACAACCAATACGTTTATACTAAGAATAAATGCTGCACCATCTTGTTTGTACAGAATTCTGTATTCTTTGTGTTTTGAAATTTTTGTATTATTGGTAGAGCAACATTTATTGTAGAACTCATTTAAAATTGTAATTGCATTTTCTTTTTTAGATGTTTGCTCGTTTAAATCATCTCGGAATTAGCCTTGGCATAGGTGCTACTAAAACTGCCATTGACCGAGTACGCAAATCGTATGATGATGAAGTTCTACAGTGGCGATCAGAAATTTCTGAATACCTTCTTTTGCCATCCACTACATTTTCCTCCCGGACAGTTTCGTTTGCTGCAGATGCTGAATTCAATGATGAAGGTTCCATGCATACTGATTCATCCACAACACTTTATCAAGACATGCCACCAGATGCCGAGGTGCTGTCACCTGACATTACACTGTTCCCTGCTAACAACAAATTACAAGGAACAACCTTTCAAGAATCGAATCTAAGTGAGACAACGTCCATGGACACAGAACACAAAGGTAATATTTGCAAAATGTTTTTATGAAAACGATTTTTATCTACATATGTATGTAGCCTGTCTTTCTTTACTGTTGTTGTACAGTTACTATAACATCTACACGACTACAATGGGTGATCCATATCTGATGATTTACATACCATGTAAAGTGTGTGGTCAAGTTTGTGATTGACTTATAAACCTGAATACTGCCAATTTAACTTACATTTGACTTACTTTCTGTTAACTTCGATCAAAAATCAGTCATTTAAAAAAAAATTAAAGATTTAATTTCTGTACATTTCAAGCTTTGCAATCAAGTTTTCCGTATAAAATACCACCATCCTTCAATATCGTTTTACGTGTCCTCTCTTACACTACAGGTCGATGTGGCTTTTCCCTATGCTTTGATAATGTAAATCAAAGAGGAACAAGATGTTTAACATGGTTCAGGCTTCTCGGGATGAAATTAGAAACATCCCTCTCGAAAAATTATTACCTACGAAAAATGATGAAATGGAACTGCAATCTGAAATAACAACTATGATACAGCGTGTTCTATGCGAAAACATTTCCATCTTTCAAGACTGCAAGTGAAGTGACCTGGCATATTGCACATCAGTATTCACAAGAGTCTTCAACTAAAAGTAACGTTGTAAGTACCTTTTTTTTTTCTTTTTTTGCTTGATAAATGCTGAACGTATGTATGTAGCATGTTTCATCTATAAAAATACTGGCTTGTCGCATTTCAAACTTGGAGCCAAACACACTTCATGTTTTAACTTGATTACTTAAGTACTTTTCAAAGCAACACTAACTTTTCTCCAGCACGAATTGCTAGAGCACAAATGTGTGAATTAAAAAAAAAAAATGTAAACCCTTCCTTGAACTTCGTATTTGGTTGTGTAATTGCAGGTCCCCATAGGCGTCCTTGATAAGGATGAGAGTAGGGTGGCGGACATGATCAAAATCATGGAAGAGTACCACAAATATGTACCTCTGGAAGCAAATGGACATCCGTTGGTCATTCCACTACATGCTGATGGACTAAGTTGTGAACGAGGGAATGATTCACAAAATGCACGGATTAATGCGAATTCTCCATGGCAGCAACTGCAGGGACTGACCATGAATATTCAGGAATGGCACAAACGATGTCTTCTGCTACAGGTACCTATTTTACTCTCCAACTGCTAAAAGGTAGTGAAGTTTGACATGAGTGTTACCAAAGTACCATACCTGAAATCAAAGTGCTCAGTGGCAGTAAAAGTTGAGCTTGTTTGAGATGCATGATTGTACGACCGTCTGAACTGTTGCAGCAGGAACTTGTGCGCACGTTATGTGTATAGATAGGTACATGTCAAAATAGTCTTGTAACTGTTCCCTAAATGCATGTGAGTGTACAATTATATTAGTTACAAATATCTCGTCTAAAAAGAACACATGTTGCTTGTTGTTCGGCACTTTGCTATTATTCTTAATACTACAACTTAAAATTAGCAGAATTTACTTTTTGTAATTGTATAAAAGTACAAGTTATTGTTTTTAATGAGATATAAATAGCTTTGCTTTAATTGCAGGATATTTTTGACGAGTTGTACAATGGATCAAGTGGTAGAGAAAAGGGTACTTTGTTCCATCTCAAAAACTATTTCAACCATCGGAATGTTTCAAGTGACATTAAAGAGAGGTTTAACCACTGTGAACAATTCTTATACTTTTGTTGCGATGCATACATTGTTCTCGCAGCCTTACATTGTATGGGCACCAAGCAGATGGATGACATACCGAAAGACTTTCCAACTGATAAAGACAACCAGTTTTTGTTCATGCAAAGAGTAGCCACACAGATGTCATCTCAGGACACTGTAAATAAAATATTACATTCAGATGCCGGAGAGTTAAATGACAATTTCTTTTGTGTCTGCAAACAAGAAATTCCTGGATCTGCCATGATCTTTTGTGACAACCGTAATTGTCCTAGAGGGGTGTGGTTTCATCTTGAGTGTGTGGACTTGGAAGAAGACGATGTTCCTGATGGAAAGTGGTATTGCAGTGAGAGTTGTGAGAGAGATGCAGGAGAAAAAAAGACCAAGAAACGCAAGAAAGTACCAGTGGCAAAAACCTTCATTGATGCAAAGAAAAATTATACAATCAGAGTGATGTGGAGAGGAATTAATCAGAAAATCCGACGAGATGCCATTCGTGAAAATGATGGTAACAGGATGTTGCTACACTGGAAGTTTGACATGTTAAATTTCTTCGATAAACATCATCCAAAGTACTTTCTGCTTGGCCAAAGATTGCTGTCAGCAGTAAATGGTGCAGTTTCTGAAAGGCTGCAACATACGTTGATGTGGAACAGAACTGTCAATCCACATGGAGGGAAAGGAAAGAACATTGCAATGGACTTACAGATGGAATTCTTTAACAAGGAGTATAAAGGTGAGCTAAAAGTGCTTTAAAAAAATTGCAATTATATGTTTCTACTTTACAACATCTTATAGTATACTCTGCAGGATAAAATTTCATTACACCTGGGTGTTGGACATCACATCAGTAAACCCATGCTGTTCGCACTGCTGGATTGGCAGGGGAGTGAGTACTGAACTAGTAACAAAATACACAACAACTGTTTGTAGTAGTAGTTGTCCAGCAAAGTTCTGGACATTTATTATATGCCTACAGAATACAGCAGCTGCCGGAAGCGCACATACACACACAAACATGTAACAACAGCATGCATTAGCAATTGTAAAAAAATTAAATAATATACAACAGAATTCAATGGCATTAGCTTGGCCATATATATACTATATATGTATATATACTACAGTTCACGCACGATGACTCGTGCGGTAACTCGTTGCCACTACAGGCACGACAGCCCCATAGTGTATGAGCCACACCCCCGAAATGGGGGTCATCGGTACCAGTCAGGGGTCATCGGTACCATAAAACATATGGTAGTGTATGAGCCAGATAGGGTCATCGGTACCAGTCAGGGGGATACCAGTACTACTTATTAGCTATTTCCTGTGAACAGACATATTTATTTTCATATAAGTTATGTATACCATTGGAAAGCTTATTTAATTCTCGTTCGAATGATGTAAACAAATAATTCCAGTACAAAATAATTAAATGAAAAAAGTACATCACAAGTCATGTACCCTAATGCAAATTATACATTTATTGTGTATATATATCCATAATATAGCAACGAAAACATTTTCTAAAATCAATCGATAATCCTAGTCTGGAAACATTATATGTCATTAAAATGTTCATTCAATTTCGTTTAATGTCATATGCATGTTGAAACACTTTGATACTGGTTTGCTAAAAAAATTACATGTCAAAACGAATTGGTTATAGTCCAGAATTCCATATTTGTCACATATTGTAATTTTATGATACTTTTAGTTCAGTTTGGAAGGGCTCTGTAGAGCCATGTTCTGCTTTGAACGCTTTCGGTGGTTTAAATTTGCTCATTAGATTGTCCAGAGTGACACTAAATATATTAACAGGATAGTTATTTAGTGGTTATAGTGATTTAATTTGACGCAATATGACTTCTATAGATTGGTTTCTCTTTTCAGACGATGGGTGATGATTGCTAAGAACTAGTCGTAGATGCTAACCACTGTGTACCATAGACTTTCGTAGATGCTAGCCCATGTGCTATTGTTGCCGATATAATGTATTGTTTTTGGTTGTATTGTATTGTTTTTGGTTGTACCTTAACAATATGAATGTATTCGTGAAACCACAACTTGCAACGATCACAAAATGGACAAGAACCTATCGATAAAGAAAGGAGTTCCTGTGTGCATCATACATTGCGACTCATCAAAGCTTTGCCCAAGTAAAGAGCTGACAAGACTGCAAAGTCTTGAATCGTGGATGACATTGTTGGCTGCTGCAAAAGTAAGGCATCATAAACCAGTTCTGCAGATGGCTGAACAACTTGAGAGCGAACAAGACATACCAGAACTGTACTAGCACAGACACTGCAGGAGCATGTTTACGATGAAAAGGGACTTGGAAACTCTCAAACGAAAAGCCGAAAAGGAAGATGCTGATTCAAATCCAAACACCTCTCGAGCCAAAAGACAAAACAGATCTTTATTTGAAAGTAGGATTTACACCAAGGAATGCATATTCTGCAAAAAAAGACCAGTACATAAAGGGGTCACGTTCAAGGGAGCCATTAGTTAGAGCTTCAACCCTCAGAGCAGACGAAAAGCTTCGAGAGATAGCAATGCTTAAGGAGGATGATTCTATGCTCGCAGTAACCAGCCGAGAGATTGTGGCAGCCGAGGCACACTATCACCATACTTGCTACAGAAATTATACAAGGCATCCTGAACGCCGTAATTCGAAAGAAACTGACTCGAAAGCCACAACTGAAGATAGTGACTATGCTACACTGGAATATGAATCATATGTAGAGCTCTTTGAATATATTCGAAAAGACGTGGTACCCTTTCCAGATGTCAGCACACTGAGCAGCATGACAAAGAAGATGTCAGAAATAATGAGATCAAAAGGCGTGCTGGCTTTGAAGGATTCAACAAAGAAACACATTCGCAGAAAGCTGGAGGCTGAATTTGGGTCAAGTTTAAAGATGTTCTCCGATGACAAAGGAAAGGTACTTATCCTGCCAAGTCATGCAACTATTTATGATATGGCGAAGAAATATCATGCAGCAAAACAAGATCTGATGTTCTGGCAATCAAAATCTACAGAGAGCAAAGCTGTTGACCAAGCATCTTCTATGATACGCAAAGCAATAAAAGACATGCAAAAACCAGACATATGGCCGTACCATCCATCAGATGTTACACAGGATTCCTTAATGATACCGCCTGAGCTGCAGCGCTTCTATCTCAGTCTACTAACTGGTAAACCTGACCAGAAATGTACTCAAAGGGTGAAAATGTTGATGAAGTCATTCAGCCAAGATGCTATGTATGCCGTTACTGGTGGACAGCAAAAACCACCAAAGCACATTTTGCTTGCATATGGAGTTCAATCATTGACTGGAAATGCAGAACTGGTCAAGACTCTGAATAGACTTGGGCATGAAATTTCATACTCACAGCTTGAGGAGAATGATACTGCCCTGTGTTTACAAAAACTTGCAGCAGCCTCAAACCAAAGAGTTATTCTACCTGAAAGTATTCAACCATATGTATTTACCAACTTGGCATGGGACAACATTGATAGATTGGAAGAAACATTGAGTGGAAAGGGAACGTCACATCGTGTGAATGGCATTGCAGTGCAGCCTCGAGTCTACGGACCTCAACTCCCAAACAATCCTCTCCCAGATGTCATCAAGGGAAAACAGCGAACTGTAGCCATTGCAAACCGACAGCTGGCTCCATATATTCCTGGGACACGAACTGGACCACAACCACTAATAACATCCACTGATGACACAGACAGTCAGGTGTCTGCCTCTTTGACAGCACAAGGAAAGAACCTGATATGGATGCTTTCGCGACAAGTTGATCCTGTTGATCAAATTACTCCAGCTTGGACAGGTTTTAACATATGTACTAGAAACATGATCAGTGTATCACAAGATGTTGTGGGGTATCTTCCTACAATAAATGCACCAGCAACAGAAATGGCAACAGTATTTGAGATTCTGAATCAATCTAAATTGATGATGGACCAACTCAAGCTTCAACTGATAGTCGTGGTGATGGACCAAGCATTGTATGCCAAAGCAGCAGAAATACTATGGAAGCATCGAGAAGACTACTCACATGTTGTCATTCGAATGGGCACCTTCCATACCATATTGGCTCTCTTAGCCATACTTGGAAAGAGATTTCAAGATGCTTGCCTCCGTGACCTCTGCATTGAGTCCGGAATTGTTGCAGAAGGTTCTGTGTCTGGGGTACTTGAAGGAAAAATGTACAACCGTGCAGTACGTGTTCACAAATACGTTTACGAAGCATTGCTGCGATTAGCCTGGAAGGGATTCATCCCATGGATGGTGGGAAATCATCCAAATGAGATGCATCCAGTAGAAGCATTGTTGGAACAAATCAATGATCTTCACGACGACTAGGGCCAAGAAAGACCAGCAAAGCTGCTTTTGCAACAAGCATTCAGAAGTTAGCAGCTCCAGCAGAAGCAATACCAGACAACTCTGCTACTGTGATCGATGGGATGAGTCTCGTCCATAAAGTAAAAAATGACCTACCTACCTTTGGCGATGTAGCAGCAGCAGTCCATAGAATGGTTCTCAAAGAAGGATTTCACAGCAACAGGATCGACATCGTCTTTGATGTTTACAACAACCAAACAATCAAGAACACAGAAAGAGCAAACAGGGGTGAAGAACAAGGCATTCAGCTTCAAAATATAGCTGAAACACATCTTGTCAGGCAATGGAGGAACTTCTTGAAACAAGTCAACAACAAAAGCACTTTGATCAAGTTTCTAGTCAGTGAATGGCAGAAACCAAAGTATGCTGAAAAGTTACAGGGGAAAGACCTCTTTGTGACTTATCTCGACAACTGTTGGAAGATAACAAACCAAAGTACTGAACAAGTACATCCGTTGACAACTAAGCACGAGGAAGCAGATGGACGTCTCTTACTGCATGCTGCCCATGCAGCAGCAGAAGGTTATTCATCTGTCGTGATTTGTTCGGAAGACACTGACGTGTTCATCTTATGCCTCACCTTTTCGGACAGAATCGACGTCCCTTTGTTTCAGAAATGTGGAACGCAGTCTCGTACCAGACTGGTAGATATCACCTCAACAGCTTCAGCTCTTGGTTCTGATGTGTGTAAAGCTCTTCTAGGAGTCCATTCCTTTACTGGATGTGACTCTGTTAGTGCTTTTGCTGGGAGAGGAAAACATCGCGCATTACAAATAATCAGGTCAGATCAGGATGCCCGGAATGCCTTTGTAAAACTTGGTGACTCCTGGAATCTGTCTTCAGATATGCACTCACAACTTGAGAGATTTGTATGCAAGCTGTATGCAACAAAGCCAGGAACTTCTGATGTTGATGAGCTTCGATACAACTTGTTCTGTGCCAGGAAAGCAGAAATAGAATCTCACCAACTGCCACCGTGCAAAGATTGTCTGAAGAAACATTCCTTACGTACGAACTACCAGGCCGCTATATGGAGACGAAGCCTTCAACAGGATCCGCAAACACCAGATCCAAGTGGAATGGGATGGCAGTTGGAGGAACTTGGAGGCAAACAACATCTTATCATTGACTGGATGGATGGATCTCCAGCCCCTGAAGCTGTTTTGTATCTGTTATCGTGCAAGTGTGCACGCTCTTGCAAAGCACCCTCTTGTATCTGCATATCGAATGGCTTGAAGTGTACTGATATGTATCGGCTGAGGGATTGTGACAATCAACCACAGCTTACAGAAACTGTGGACAACGACCCATATGATGACGACGACGACGATGATGAAACGTATTGAAAGCACATGTATTACACTGTTATAACATGTATAAGAAGCAAGTGTTTTCTGTGTCATCATCAGTAAATATAATTATTGTATGTTTGTTTTGTTGCATCAAAATGCCAATGTTTCCAACATTACCAATGATGATGATGATCGATGTAAATAAATTTTGCATTAGGGTACATGACTTGTGATGTACTTTTTTCATTTAATTATTTTGTACTGGAATTATTTGTTTACATCATTCGAAAGAGAATTAAATAAGCTTTCTAATGGTATACATAACTTATATGAAAATAAATATGTCTGTTCACAGGAAATAGCTAATAAGTAGTACCCCCTCGAAAAAGACGGTCATTAATTTCGGTCAAAATTGACGGAGGGTTGGTACATATAACATGTGCAAAATTAGGAAAAGCTACTCGATACAGACTGCTATCACGCAAATATGTTATCTAGACATAATAAGCGTTCAAAAAAATGCTATGAGTATTAATCCCCCTGACTGGTACCGATGACCCTATCTGGCTCATACACTACCATATGAAATTTGAGATGGTATATACTTATATGAATTAATAACGTCGGGGAAAAAAACATTATTTAAAAATAAAAATGTATCATTACAAAATGTCAGTGACAAAATTAATCGCAGTATTGAACAAGAACAAAAAGTTATTTAATAATAATAAGTAATTATTAAAGAACTCAATGACAAAATTATTCGCACATGACTATGTTACTGTATGTGAACATCAAATGTATGTGAACATCAGATGATTGAAATCTATCAATTTTACGTTGCTATGATACGATGGGCCACAAGGGCAAAACTGAAATAAACATTCCAGCATGCGCAATCTTTTTTAGTGGTACAATATGTTTCTGAGTGTAATAAACACAGTGTATGAGGGCTGCACGGTACAATGTAAAGAACTGTCACACTTAGAGTTTTGCACGATTAAGAAACAAGGCACCGATTTTTTGTGTCCACATATTGTCTTCTCAATGAAGACCCACCCACTCCTCGTTCACAATATTTTCTTTTGAAAATCTTTCATTTCTTTGCTGAATCTGAGGTATGATAAAGAACTTGAGCAATTACTTAAGGAATTTACTAATGCTAGAATATGGTAAAATTAGCTGAGAAAAAACTTCATGCTGCAAGTTATGCTAAATAGCTAATTGCTGTCAAAATTAAGCCAAAAGCATGAAATTATGCTAGATATGGTCACAGTGGAGAACAAGCTATATATCTCTCCTAACTGAACATACTTCAGTTCATAACACTTGCTTTACAGTTAATAACAACTCTTGACACGGGTACAGGCTACTGTTTCAAGACTTAGTCTTAGCTTAAATAAACAGAACAACATTGCATGTGTATTGAAAAAAGTTTTATGTATTACAGAAAGTGTGAAAGATGCTGCTGGACAGTTGACGGCTGCAACAATTGCCCGCCACAGTCAGATGGTTGGTGTTGAAAAACTGCTGAGATCAGTTTTTGAAAAACAGGTATCCGGTTTGTCCCGAGCAATGGTTCACAAGAAGACAGCAATTAACAGGCATAAAGATATTAAGGAATTTGTATCATTGCTAACAGATGAGAACTTGTTCACTACCAAGCCTGGACGAAAACACCCGTCCTTCACAAATATGCAGTCTACCCTACATTGGAACTTAAATTCTGCAACCTTTAATATAAGCCAAGAATAGAGAGACTGAGAAAGTACATGGCAAAGCAAAGGGACAGTAATAATAATGCAAATGGAATGAGAGTGTGAATGTTCCTGTCCTGACACAATTTATAACAAACACAACAGTGTCAGGAAATTTAGTAAATAAAACATTGAAAGGGTTATTTGTAACTCGTTGAAACTGTCCTAAACCTTCATCATGTGAGATTCCTGTAAAATTATCAACAATGAATTAATGGCAAAGCTTTAAGTGTACAACATTAAAAAGGAGATGGGTAACCAAAAGAATATACTGTGAACACAGTTACAGGGAGTGTTACAATGTAATTTTAGAAGGCTCAGGGCTTAATTGGTATTTATAAAGTCAAGTAGTGGATTATTTACTTTTAATTTACAAGTACACGTATTTTGGCAAACACTGCAACATGTGCATTTCCGACAAACACAAGCATTTAAACAATTACCAGGACAGTTTGTAGTTATTTTCAAAGAGTCTAGATTTGCGCTATCCATACCGTCTAAAAAAAATGTTTTCATTATGGCGAATCTTATGCACTGGTGCAACGTTACAATCCTCTTAAATTCTTGATCTTCTAATTTAGTGTAACTTTGTTTGTAAGCGTAGCAGATGGCATGGCTGTTTCTGCCATCTCTGCCACACCTGCCTACTTCCTGCCAATAAGTAAGACATGTTACTGGAAGACCCCAGTGAACCACTACATCAACATCTCGAATGTCAATGCCCAGGCCAAAAGCAACTGTAGATATGAGGACTTTAATGATACTGCTTGGTGAAATAAAGTCTTGCATTATTCGGTTCTTTGTTTTAGTGTCAGTTTTTGCATGAAACATTTCAATTTTACGGTTTTTCGTAGATGGCATATTTCCTAAAAATGCATTATCCATGAGACTGCTTACTAGCCACATGTAGATTTGGCAACACAAGTTTACAGACCTCACGTAAACGATGACTTTTTTAGATGGAGAACTGGTCCTCATGTGTTCTAGAAGCCAAGCTAGTTCTACCTCGTACTTGCTAGTAGACTGTACCAAATTCAGGAATATGTTTGGCCTGAAAAATGAAAGAGCAATAGCACATTGCAATACCGATTAAAGATCAATGATGTTTTTTGTGAAAGAACTAATTTAATAAAAATAAAGAGATCAGTGTAGTTAATGTTGTGTAGGTGCATTGTAGTGGAGCCTTTTTGGAAATCATAGAAAGATGTATGTATTAAAACTGATGTAATGATTTTCCTGTTTGATTAAGCATTTATTGGATCACCTTCTAGGCATAGCATGTAATGAATTACCTGTTTGGTAGAGCAGCAATAACTTCAGTCTTGTCAGACTGGAATCCTAGCAAATCGTAGACATCTTTTTGTATTTCCTTTGTTGCTGTTGCCGTTAATGCTAAACATGGAACTTCAAATAAACTCTGAAGGACGCACACTTCTCGGTAACATGGTCTAAAGTCAAGACCCCTGTAAACTGATATGCAAAATTATTACCAGTTACTTATATATATGGGAATTGCAATTTTCACTAAAAGTGCAATTGACATTGAAGCATAAATGAAGAGTGCGGAGATTCACTTTGTATGAAGATTGCATTAATTGATGTTTGTATAAATATTTCAAGTATTGTTTTGTATATATATTAATTGTTTATATTGAATGTTTAATATTGAATTGTATATATATGAGCTGTATGTATATTTCAAATATGCATTCAACAAAATTATAAATGTTTTAAGTTGTCGATGTTTCTTACAAATTGCTCCTACTTTTACCTACAGTGTCTTGATGTATTGGCTGAGAATGTATGGAAGATTAAATGCTGATGGTCAACTGAAAAATTTCCATACATGAAGTTTGTATTTCCTTTGTAATGTTGGAAGCATCAGGTCAGAAATTAAATTAAACACACTGAAAGAAATACTGTTACATTTTTTGTAACATTTGTTTACCATGAAGATATGCAGTGCGCTTCATCAAAAACGAGAACAACAACTCGCTCCTTGCAGTGTCTCAAAAAAATCTGCTTCCATTTCGGTGAAACTGCAGCTTCAGGGGAAGCAAAAATTACGCTAATATCTCCCTCGATGATGTCTGGAAGTAAAAAAATCTTACATAACTTTGTGAAATAATTGATGGTTTATATAAGCAATAGAACCTGAAGAAGAACAAATGTATCATAGGAAAAAAGTTACGAAAAGGTAACACTTATCTACATGCAGACCTTACTGTAAAACACAGTATCCTGGTAACTAAAAATTTTGGTATGAGAAAAAAATTACTAACATAAATATAACAGTTTAAATCTACCTCCATTTTTAATAATTCGTAAATTAACCCAAAAGTATAAATGAACGATGTTCCTAAACATATCATTATTACCCTTTATTTTGGTCTCCTCCATTACAGCATCAGCCTTGATGCCATGTTGCCGTAAAGAAACTACTTGGTCTTTCATTAAGGCCCTAAGGGGTGATATCACTAGTGAAGTGTGTCTCTTTTTAGGCTCCAGCTGGAAAAAATTTTTTTATATAAAATGTTATTTTGATAGAAAAGTTATATATCTTTACTTATGAATATTAAAAGGTTTCAGAAAACAGTAAGGAGGTCTTGTTTGTTACTGTGTGGTGAAGATACACTATTTGTGAGCTACTTTGTAAAAAGTAAAGTTGTAAATAAATATTGCATCGAAAAAAATTTGCATGCTATTTGTTGTCTGTATAGATTTACAACCTCTATGGGAATCAGACCATGAAAATGCATTGAAAGTATTTTAACACTAATAAAAATTGTCTGTAATTGTTCAATGCAATGTATTTAGGTGTGATTTGGTATGTAAATGTTTGTATGTCTTTAAAAATATAGTAAAAGTTGTGAAATGTTTTTCGAAATCACTTCTTAATTTTTTTTCTTAATCTTAGTTGGCAATATTCTGGTGCATGCAAGAGATTCTGTATGATTTATGGGCGAACGCTGTCACAAAATTGACGTACATTAAAATCAAGATTTAATACAAGAAGAGCTGGTGCCAGAGGCGGATTAATGGTTCACTTCAACTAATTCCTAAGCGTCTGTTATTGTTTTGTGAAAAACTGATTTGTAAAAATACCACTAGGCAATAGAATTAAAAATAGTAGGATATGTGAAGTACTACTATCAACTATTAGTATTAATACTTTAACGTTATTAACCTCATCTAAAATCAATGGAAGCAGAATGAATGTCATGGATTTCCCAAATCCTGTCGGTAGCAATGCAAATACATCTTTTTTATTAATAGCATGCCTCAGAATTTCTATTTGTTCACACTTTAAAGTTATTTTTACGTTATATTTCTCATTGACAACCTCAAGCGCTTTCTCCATGTTCTTGTGTATCCGTCGCTAAGCGATGAGTAGTAGTAAATAGGCTATTAATAAAAAATTATGAAGTAATAAAAATATGAAATAAGTAAAAAAAAGATTGAGATTGCATTTTTTAAATATCAATAATAAGAAAGCACTTAACTATAAAAACGTACCGTATATAGGCCTACTTGCTGTTCCTTTGCAATCGCATTTGTTAATGCTTTACGTCATTTCTTGAAATGGGCATCCCTCCAAAAAACCGATGGTCCCCGAAACGAGGCATGAGCTTTTTTTCCCGCAAGAGCGCGCGAGACACGACAGGAAGTGACTTTGCAGGTCAAAATCGAAAATGGCGGTTACGAGCAACGCCAATCTTCGCTTCGAAATTTAAAGTAGATATAAGAATATATTCTATCGTTATTGTGTTAATGTATTGAGCTCTGTTAAGTTCAACCACCCTGGAGGTAAGTAACCGCAAGAATAAATCGTAAAACCCCCCGGTGCAAATTGCACCGGCTCTGCTCCACAGAAACGTATAGGCTCGATTCGTAGCCCTGTTCACGCCAGTCAGGGCTACGTTATCATATCTACGTTATCAGCAGCCGTTTCCATGGAAACGTAGGGACAACTTTTTGAAGTAACTTTTTAAAGGGCTAATGGAGGACCTTAGGTATAAGAACAGGAACCATCAAGTTTTGCCTCATTGTATGATGGCTATGGCCCATTTACATGTACAACACTCCACTCCGTTACCTCCACTCCGTTACCTTTTGTGGTAACGGAGTGGAAATTTTCACGCCTCCGACTGAACTGCACAAAGCAAAACCTGGAGAAAATGCTATTCCTCATTACTAGTGGTTTAAATGATTATTCACACTTTATTGTCTTTAAAAAATTCAAGGTGAGACCTAGACTGAAGGGATAATTTTGTTATTATTGAATATCATGTGATATATTTCAACGTTTCATTGTTATTTACATTTATTAGACGTATTATTTTATTTTGCTCCACAATTCTAAAAGAGCAGCTGCCTTCCTTGTGCCCCCCCCCCTTCCAGAGGCTCCTTCAGACTTCATATTGACTTCAGACTTGAATATTCTCAAAGAGGGACCTTCAGACAATCAAGAACTATACAAGACTGACTAATTGAACTTGTTTGCACTCTGCTCAAATTGCACTGATTTTTACTGATCGAACAGTTCAGGATGCGAGTTCTTTAGCTGCAGCACAAGCCGTGTTCAAGCACAATGAGGATGGATGGGCTTATTTTGGATTTCTCCCTATACTATTTCAATGCATTTCGCAAAACTGAGATTATGGGTATAGTCAAAATAGCACAAATAATGGTGCTTAACTCTTGTTAATTTTGAATTGTTTCTTCTTGTCATGTAGGATCTGTTTGTTGTTCGTGATCTGATACTAGTATTGAATTCTGTATGAGAGTTTACCTGTTTCTTTTTACATAGTGTTTACTTTTTATGGACATGTAGTTCAAGTCAAAATGGCATTATAAGTGTCCACTTGAGGGCTAATAAGTGAACTGTGTTAATTTTGGAAATTGTTTAATCTGCTGTTCTATGGGATGACGTTCCCTGAAGGTTTGTTTCGTTGTTGCTTTATAAAAGAAAAAAATTTCATCAATTCGTAGCCATCGATCGACGCTACAGCGCCACTGCGGCTTATGATGAAAACATTATTTAAATGTTAGAAAAATAATTACTCGCGTATTTATGCGCATGTGTAGGCTCTATGTACCGGAAAAATAGCCGTTGGTCATAGGGATTCGGTGCCGGACGAATATACACTGCGTTATTTATTTATAGACTTTTCATTCATTTATTTATAAAGTGTTTAACAGCAATATGTTCAGAAAGTGGTTGGAAAGAAGTTGAAACCTGACTGGTGGATACGTCCCTAATTCAAATTGGGTATCGTCTATTGAAGTTGGGTATTTTTTTTATTTAGGTTATGGGCAGGGCTATAGAAGGCATAGAACCAGTCTATTCAATTGCCAACGCCAAACCGAGGATATTATTATATTTATATATCCCTGTATATATAACACATTCTGTATACTATATAGTACTGTAGGATATTATGTATTTATTTGCCGTGCAACCCAAACCTAGATGTTTCTCATATATCATTATAGGGCCTATAGAAAATAGAAATCATACCTGCTGTGGACAATACTGGTGGATTGAAAAGTTTGCTTCCATTAAAATAATGTCGTACTGGACTTTGCGTCGTAGAGCAAGAGCCCGTGCTTCCCAACACATCAAAAGTGTTCTCGAAGAGGCAGAGTCAGAGAACACTGGAGAAATATCGTCAACGTCCTGTGCAGCATTGAATGACAATGCATGCCACGCTGTGCCAATGCAGCTAGATGGGTATGATAATACAGCAAACAGGATCAGTACAGAATCAAGTCATCCCTCACCCCACGAAAATATGACTGCTGGAATCAGCATGCTTGATTTGCCATTTGATTCTGTCTCATTGCTTGAATTACCTCTCAACGTTGACAGATGCAGTTCAAGAGAATGACATATATCTGTTCATCACCACCTTGACCCCCATAATAGATCTGTTTTTCACTACAAACAGGCATAATTATTCCCGATGGATGGCCAAATACCAACTGGACCTCATGAACATTGATGAGACATATCCTGGTTTGCGCCAACTGCTTGATGCTGGTGGGTTTTCAGTCAGGCGTTCAGATATTCAATTCTCAAGGATACCAGTAGACCTCACATTAGAACAAACTGTAAATGCAGATGCTGCATCACGCTTGACAGGCTATACTGCATCAACAAATAATTACCACTCTCGTGTACGGTGGAGTGTAACGAAGAGTGCCCGTGCAGCCCTTGTTACTGAAGCTCTTGCAATGGTCGATATAGGGAATACCCAGAACAAACAAAAGGAGCTTAATCCAACCAGAATTCGACGAGACAATTGCGATCTTCAGAATGTCATTAAACAAATCGAGTCATGTATAAATCCATTTACACTTGATGTGAGCATACCACTAATCAACATCAGCACGGGAAAAGCTGTGTCCAGTGAAGTCAGCAATTCACTGTTGAGTATACCAGAAGGCAAGAAACTGCATGAAAAATTTGTGACAGAATGCCAGGATGCGGATCGATTTGAGAAGCCAATCAAAAAGAATCCACTGCGTACATTTGCCAACATGTGTGTCGTGAATAGAAAGGCAGCAAAAACAACAAAGGAAGCACAACTAAAATGTACTAGCCAACTACTAGATCGAATTGCTTTCACCGCTGCTGTAACTGAAATCGATCTAGAGTATGTATTCTCGTTTCCACTCACACCTGTTCCCTTATCTATGTGTAAGGGAGATGGCACAATGGTGCACACTGATAAGAGTCAACTCTTTAAAGTCTTGGAGAAAACTGTCGCCGACCATGGCAAACCCACCTTTATTGGAACGCACATCGTGGATGGGAACTTTCAACTACATTGTATGACACCAGATCAGCTGCCGACATATGGAGGGATCTCAGAGAATATCGTCATTTCTGCATTGTCATATCCGTCACGCAGAGTCGATGTCATCTTTGACACATACGAACGCCCGTCCATAAAGGATTGTGAGAGAGAACGGAGGGGAGCTGAGCATGGTCTTAGAGGGCTTGAGTTTACAATTGAAGGTCCAGAGCAGAGAAGATCTGAGTTTCAAGAAACTGCTCAGCAGAGAGGAGTTCAAGAAGGGGTTGCCCAGCTAACACATAACGTAACCACAACGTTGCTGCAAAGTTACAGTTTGGTTACGTTTTTCAAAACGTTGCTGGAACATTGCTATAACGTTACAGTGACTTAGGTTAGCTGAGGAACGTAACAACAACGTTGTAGATTGATTACAGTTTCCAGAATGTTGCATAGGAACATAGCGGCAACGTTGCAATATGTATAAATTTTATGAGACTATAAACGTTTTAGTAACGTTTGGAAAACATTTCAGACGCAAAACAACAGCCGTTGATGTCCGTTAGGGAAATCTCAATTACGATTCATACACACCTGTCTAAACTACCAACAAATTGATGAAACTTTTTACTCTGTTGACGTGGACATATTTTTACATGGTAGAGGAACCTTACTATACATTTAGAATTCATAAAAACATGCTGGTAATACGCATAATTATAGTTTGTATCCAGATTCGAATATCCCTGGCGTTACCCTTCGTTGTTATGGGAACACAGACCGCCAGTTTGTATAATTTCGCCGCCAAGTTAGTTTTGAACAACAGACGAACAGCAAAACGATAAAGAATATTTTTACAGAAAGTAAGTATTGTTCTGTTACTGTTTGCTAATTACTATTGTAGGTAACTTATTTAACATGTATTTAGAGAAAAATGTTCTTTATACTTCAATGGATCTGAATTAGCCATTTGTCTGTCAAAAAGGTTTGAATCTTTAATTACATTTTCTTTGCAACAGATTCTTGCACAATGTACAACACGTAACGACATCATAATGTGGGCTTCTGAAGTGACATCAGATTTCGTAATTCAAAACATCAACTTTCAAGACAGCAGTTCAGAAGAAATCATCAAAACAGTGTACATGGAAGAAGTTTTCCGATCTGCTCGCAACTCGGATTCAGGTATTATTTTTATAAATAAGTAGTAGTTTCATTGTATAATTAGGATTTTCTAATAGATGGTTACAAATAATTTAAATGCATGCAATGATATCACTAACAGTGACTGATAATAAGTAAAGGTATTGAATGCATAAATAAATGAAGCCCTAATTTGTAGAAAACTTCAACAGATTGTGGCGTCACGATAAGTGAGTACATTGTTTTTCAGACTCTTGTGTTTTTACAATGTGTAATATACTATTACATCATTTAAATAAAGTATAATTAAATTTTTTAATAAAATAAGTATTTACTTGATTATTTGTTTACCTAAATCCAATACCATGTTTTGCAGGTCTCATTCAGGTTATGCATCTCGCAACATATCTTCACAGAT